TCCCGATCTCTGGGGGTTCCAGCCCCAGGAATTCTCTTTTCCTGCAGCCTTTGACCCTCCCTTTGTTCCCAGCACAAAGCCCACTCTGAGCTCAAAGCTAATTAAGCTCAGACTAATTCATTCTGCAATCATTGCAGCTGATGATTTTGTGMTCAGCAATTATCACTCTGCTCATTTGGCAGCCAGTGCCCCAGGTAACCTGGCATTTCCAATTTCCCTGCAGTTCCACACCAAACACATCCCCAGAGCTGAGGGAAACCTCGAGAACAAAAACCCCAAATCCTCCCCAAAGCCTGGAGAGCAGCCCAGCAGGGAGGTTTTCCTGGAAATGCTGGTTTAGATCATGGATTTCGTGATGGTGGGGAATGACAGAGTCCAGAAGAGCCTTAAATTCTCCTCTTCCTCTCAGAATTTAGTGGAAACTTCAAAACTTCCAGAAGAATATCCAGATTGTATTCTGGTATGGAAAAACTTGCCCCAGACTTCAGAATAAAGAATGCCTGCGTCTTGGAGCTCCCCCAAAACCCCGTCTATTTTTAAAATGTTACAATAAATGTTCTTCTGTTGACATAATTTCTGTAGGAAGCTGCAGAGCTCCACTGGCAAACTCCATCTGCTCCGAGCTCTTTGTGATTCCATCCAGGAGCTCCTTGAGAAACACCACCATGAGAAGGGGCAGGGGATGGTCATTAAATAATCAGATTAATTGGGTATTAATTGTCTCCCTGTGCCTCAGCCATGCCAAGCAGCTGGGGCTGAGCTGGACAGCCCAAAAACGCTCGGGGCAAAAGCAAAGTGACCTCTTCCCTCCCAATATTCAAACAATAGCAAAGCCCAACRCTAAATATCCCAAATGTCTTCATTTTAGGAGCAAATCTTACATAGAAACAGCAGAGAATCCCGTTCTTGAGCACCTCTAATCCTTCCAAATATTGACTTATTGCCCCCCGAGTTCAAATCTGCCAGCAGAGCCCCCATTTACAGCCCCTCTGCATTTCTCAGGCATAAATAACAAGATGTATTAATAAAGCAGCTCTGGCGTGCAGATAATTCACTGGTGAGCTGCTGAAGCTCTAATTATCCTCCTTTAAAGCCTGCTGATTGCTGGGATAAATTTTATAGGCTTTACTGCCTGACAACAGCCACCTTGGGCTTTATTTCCTCACAGGAATGGCGTTCCCTTTATGGAACCCACATGGCAAAGAGTGGGGGAGGCAGAAAATCTGCACCCACGGCTCCTTTTASCCCTCCCTGACCCCACTGAGCCCAAACTCAGAGCATTCCCTGCTCCTGCAGCTCAGCCTCAGTGGAACCATCTCCAGAACATCCCTGCCCAGGGTTGGGATGAGGGTAAATGGTTTTATGCTGCCAGAGGGCAGGGATGGATGGGATWTTGGGCAGGAATTGTTCCCTGTAGGGTGGGCAGCCCTGGCACAGGGTGCCCAGAGAAGCTGTGGCTGCCCCTGGATCCCTTTGAGTGCCCAAGGCCAGGCTGGACATTGGGGCTGGGAGCAGCCTGGGACAGTGGGAGGKGTCCCTGCYATGGCAGAGTGAGTTTGGATGATTTTTGGGGTCCCTTCCAACCCAAACTATTCCAGGATTCCATGGTTTTGGATGGCAAATAAGAGAAATTGGCTCCCCAYTGCTGGAATCCTCAGAATTTGTSGCYGTGGMCCCTCAKGAGCTCTCCAGGAMATCTCSTGGTGTGTGGGGCACTGACCAGGAYATGCCCTTTGCTCTCYGGGGTTCCTGWGGGTGYYCTGGGATGGGGAGYRCYCACAGCCCCATATCCCMCTGAGCCAGACTGTGCTGGGAGAGCTCTGCCCCTGCAAATCTTGGGCTGTGTCCCTGGAATTGTCTGGAAAGGGCTCTCAGCTCCCAGGGGGCAGCAGGGGAAGAGCCCCTGAGAGTGCCACGAACACAGTGGGTGGAGAGACAGAAACCCCATCACTGACCCCACAACTGGGGGGTGGAGAGACAGAAACCCCATCAGTGACCCCACATTTGGGGGCTAGAGAGACAGAAACCCCATCAGTGACCCCATATTTGGAATTGCAGGGACAGAAACCCCATCACTGACCCACCCTTGGGGGGTGGAGAGACAGAAACCCCATCACTGACCCCACACTTGGGGGACACAGGGACAGAAACCCCATCAGTGACCCCATATTTGGGATTGCACGGACAGAAACCCCATCACTGACCCCACACTTGGGGTCTCCGGCACACCTCCCACGGTGCACAGTGTCCTGGGAGCACCCCGCTCCTTATCCCCCTCTCCAGCAGTGC